CTGAGGCATCAGTGATGCCTCCCACAAGGCCAGCAGGCGGGGGGGGGGGGGGTAGGCCTCATGGAGAGCTGCTCTATGAGGTAGATAGAGAAGTCAGCCCAGCAGAGCTTCTGGGTACAGAACAAGCCAAGAGAAAGGTGAGCAGGAAAGGACTGGGTGTGCCGGGGCGCACCCGCTTTGGAGGAAGAGGCCACATCTGAGGCATCAGTGATGCCTCCCACAAGGCCAGCAGGCAGTGGCGGGGCTGGAGCCGATCTGCCCCAGATCGCCCCCCAGGACCCCATCAGCTGAGGGCCCAGCTGACCCATAGACAGCGCTCCTAGGGGGCAGAGCCTGGGCCCCACCTCCAGGCCCCCCAGGCCCCTCTGTACTTATCAGCTGCTCTCCTCCCCACATGCCTCTGCTGAGCACCCCAAATGCTGCTCTGTTCCAGCCACAAAGTGGTCCCCACTTGCAGTTGCCACTGGCATGATAAGGCCCAAGTTTTGCTTGTACCGTCCATGAACAAGCAGCCAGCACCCTCCCCATGCAGGGGGCCCAGGCCGGAGCCACTGCTCTCCCTGTCTTGGCCAGGAAGGTAGAGGGAGGAAGGGGTGAGGGGGGAGGGGAGGGGAGGACTTCTGGAAGTGGAGAAGGAGGGGGAAGGGGAGCTGTACCGGAAGGGAGGGGAGAGGAAGGGGAAAGGAGGAGAGGCAGGCATTTGACCGCTGCCCTCTAAGCCAAGCAAGCTGCATCGCACACTCCAGAGATGTGAAAAGAACAAGCACATCTTCAAAGTTCTCATCACAAAGCGCGCGTCTTAGCCGTGCTGATAGAGGTCACCCAGCCGGGCCACTTTACAACATATACAAATACCAAATGTTACGTGCTACAGTGCTCCATGTCGACCTTTATTTTGAAGACAGAAGAAAAGAAACGGGCAGAGCCCCTCCTGCAGGCCGCCCTCCGGGGAGGGCTTGGAAGCAGGTGGCCTTGCCAGCCTCGGCTCGGGCCGCTCTGCTCGATGCCCGCCCAGGGACCGCCGTGGGGACCACAGGGGCCACAGGACCCCAGCCAGTGTCCTGCCCACACCGCCGGCAGCGGAGCCACAGCCAAGAGTGAGAAAATGTGGGGAGGGGATCCGAACGTGACAAGCCATCAGCAGTGGGACAGCAGGGTGCAGTGAAACTGGGACCCCAAGCCGACCCCCAGGCATCTGGGTTGGATGTGCAAGGCAGTCCCCATGCCCCCCGGGCAGCCACACAGAACCCCACCCAGCATCCAAGGCACCCACCGCCCGTGACAGGCCCCATCCTCAGGAGATGGACCCCAGATGCCCCCAGGGTGACATTTGGGCACAGAGCTGCGTCCGGAGAAGCCCCCAGTACGCATGTCCAGCTGGACCAGGCTCTCCACTCGGGGGCAGCTTTGCCAGCTCCTTCTGCACTCAGCACCGTCCAGTACCCCTGTGCCTGCCAGAAAGGACTCCCGCCCTTGGGAACGCCACCCTCGGGACACAGATGCGTGGAGCTCACAGACAGCCTAGCACCACAGAAGTGCAGAGCGTACCCACAAGGGCCCTGAGTGAGGAGTGAGTGGCCCAGGGGTCCTGGACTAGGGAGGGAACACAGGCCTTCTGCCACCTCAGCCCGCATGGCCCTCCCTGCCACACTGCAGCCGCCCCAGACCCAAGCACAGCCCACCATGGGGTGGGCGGCATCTGCCATGCACTCTCCTAGAGCAAGGTGCCCAGGGTCTGGAGAAACGCCCAGCTGTCTTGCATTCAGCCAACACCACCTGCCGGGTCATTGCAGTGCTGGCGACAAAGGCACACAGTGGCCAGAACCAGGCCCCCTGACCTCCGCTCGGGAGGAAGACAGAGCATGAACCCCAAAGCTCAGCACCAACACTAAGGGTGTGGGGTCAGAGGGCCAGGATCGGCCAAGTGGCTGGGGCAGCACTGCCCCTTCGAACTTGCAGGGAGGGTCCAGAGTGGAGAGGCGTGAGTAAAGGGACTTTCGGGTGCAGAACAGAGTCGGGAACACAGAAATGGGGATTGCAGGCTAGCTGTAGCTAGAAGGTTATTTGCAAGGATCTCACAATCCCCAGTATCCAACCTGAACATGGGTGGCAGATGCACCCACAGGTCACCCCAGAACCCCAGGGTGCAGGTCCCCAGACAGGAAGGCCAGGACACAGGGCATGCGCAGAGAGCAATGCCATGAGCACTAGTGGGCTCATCACCCTGGACCTCACCGCTGCACAGCTGCATTCGATGCTAAGGCCAGGACCTGTTCTGAGACCCCTGAGCCACACTCAGAGGCACAGGGTCCCCTCCAGACCTGATGCGCAGGGGGTCCATTCCCAGTAAGACTCGTGCATTTAAGGTCTACCTGTGCCCACGCTGCCTGGGGCCCTCAGGACAGAGCTGACCGGGAGAACAGGAGCTGACCCCCGGCAGAGTCCCTGCAGCACTGCCGCGAAACCATCTTTGCTCAGCACAGCCCCTGGGCCCAACACCAGCACAGATTAAGACAATAAAGAGAGAGGTTCCCGGGGAAACCGTTCAGAAATATGTGCAAATGAAAAGGGATTTACACAGTAGATCCTAATTAGTTTCCGAGGAGCCCTGATGGCAAGTAGGTAAATAAAATGTAATTTAAGTTGTTTCCCTTGTTTAAATGCCAGGATCAGGTACACAGGGAAGACAGACTGTAAGACAGGTCGTGTTCCTGGAGTATCTAAAGTACCCAGAGAAAACTCCCTTGGGACACAGCCCCGGAGGCCCGAATATCTCACCATGGCGAGGGGGACGATGCCCACAAAGGACGTCTGGCTGACAAAGATCTCGGCCACGACCAGCTCACTCGTGGTGTCCTCCACCGGGTACTCCACCTGCCAGGTGATCTGCTGGGCCCCCGCCAGGCCGCTGCTGTTGTCGATCCCAAAGTCCACTTGCAAGAGCTCGTAGAAGGAGCCGTTGGCCCTGGAAGACAAGCACATGCCACGGCGCTGTTTACCTGAGGCTCAGGAAGGCCTTCACGCCACGGAGGGCGGGGAGCCCCGCCCTGGCCCAGCCCAGCCGCCTCCTGGAGGTGGTGGTTTTTGCCTTCCGGGTGCCTACAGACTGGGGTGCAAACCCCCTGAGCCTCAGGATCTGGGCAGAACAGCGCTTTGGAGCGTCATCAGCCACGGAGCTCCCAGGGTGAAGCCTGAGATCAGAGATGAGTCCTGGTTGGCCCTGCGGCCGCCAGCCTGAGACAAGAGAAGACACGATCCTGCCTGCCTCGCATGCATGGTGGCCGCGCACCCCAGGGCCTGAGGCAGGCAGGAGGGGGCGGATGAGTGAAAAGAAAAGTGCCAGGTCCTTGGTCATTTTCTAGACATGGCGGCTTAGAAAGAGCGAGGAGTGAGGAGCTGCACGTGGACGTGAGGCTGGCAGTGGGCGCTGACGGCGGCTCTGGGACGCCCCCCAGGTATGGCCCCACCCTGGGAGCGCGTCCCCCTCGCCCTGAATGGAGCGTCACCCGGGCCCCCGGGATGGCTCGAGAAGCCCACCTTGCCAGCTGCCCGGGGCCTGCCTGACCAATGTGGGCTTGGCGAGCTCTGCCCTGCCTCTTGGGGCCAGGCAAGGTCTGCAGACCCCCTACTTTGGCAGTGAGGACAGTTTTGAAAAAGAGCCTGTCACCTGCTGCTGGACCAACTGTCACCAACCCCCATGGACAGCTCCCATCCACTGCCGCCTGTTTCCTGACCCTGCCAGGCCCAGGCCGCAGCCCCACTGGCACCGCAGCTGCACAGGCAACACTGAGCTGCGGAATTCTACTCGAACCAGAACCACCAGGCCAGGCTTCCCGTGGACCTGGCACTCCCTGCCCTTTCCCACTTAGCAGAGGTTTTAAGAAACACCCAGTTGCGGCCCTCCCTGGTGGCGCAGCGGGTTAAAGCGCAGCACTAAGAAGCTAAAGCCACTTCCGCATGAGTTCGATTCCCGCCTGCCCCGGAGGAGATCCACATGGCGCGGCAGACCCCTCCTGTCTCCCCGCTGCTCCCCTCAGCAATGTAATTTGCCAATCTGCCTGTTCCGCTCCCCACTCTTGTCTCTGGTGAATCCTCTCACTGCCCCTACACCTCTGGCCTGTACCCAGGTTCTCTATGAATAAATAAATAACATCATTAAAAAAAGAAAAGAAAAGAAACGCCCAGTTGCCACACTGCCCAGCCCTGCTGGCAGCCACTACCCACAGGGCTTCCACATCCAAATTAATTACTTTAAAGTAAACCAAGTTAAAACTGCAGATGCTCAGCCGCACCAGCTCATTTGAAGTCGCATTGCCTAGTAGCTACCAGACTGGACGGTGGAGGCCACTGGCCTGCTCTGTGCCCTGGGGAAGCTCCCCTTTCCTGCCTCCGTCTCTTCTCCTGGCATAGGGTGAACAACCCATCTGCTCCCTTTCAGTGGCGTTAGGAGGATGAGTGAGAGCGGTGTGACCCGGCCTCCTTCATGGGCTGGCACTGCGGACACCCAGAAGATGACAGCACAGTCGTCAGAGACCCAGTTCTGGAACAACCCAGGACCCCATGGACAGACACAGCAGGGTCCCGCCTGAGCCTGGTGGGCATGAGCAGGCGGGAGGTACAGGTGCTCCAAGATCTGTATGTGAATGTCCTGCAAGGGGGGTCGGAGGACAAGTGCTGATGAGTGTCTGTGGGCTGGGAATGGACAGAGTGAGCACGCAGGGGATCCCACCATGGCACCTTTATTGAAAAGGCAACAAAAGGGGAAATGAAGGGCTGAATCCCAAACTGCTGAAGGGCCCTCAGGACCGCAGGACCTTAGGCTTTCAGTTCTCAGCTTCCACCCCATGCTCACCACCACACTCAGCCCAAGTCCCCACTCTGGCCAGAGGGCCTTGCTGTCCATTGCCTGCCCCTCCCCATGAGACACCCTGCATTGGAGCAGGTCTCCCGGCCTCAGGGCGCCCTGCCCAGTAGATGTCGGGGTCTCAGGGCACCCTACTTGGGAGGTGTCCAGGTCTCAGGGCACCCTGCTCAGAAGGTGTCGGGGTCTCAGGGCACCCTCCTCTGTAGGTGTCAGGGTCTCAGGGCACCCTGCTCAGAAGGTGTCGGGGTCTCAGGGCACCCTCCTCTGTAGGTGTCAGGGTCTCAGGGCGCCCTCCTCTGTAGGTGTCAGGGTCTCAGGGC